AATTGACGTCAATTAAAACAATATTATATTCTGTTGACCGCAGACCCGAACACAGCGATGCAAATCTATAAGATTACAATGATCTTCGCCTCCTGTTGTTTGGCACTTATACTCATCATATTCCTCGTCTGCATATTGAGAAAGTCTTATTGTCCGCCTCGACAGCCAATCACACCGTTGGATAACTCGACAATACCCGACATATTCACACTTTTCCCACATGTGGGCAACTATGACGGCGGACCCCTCGGCGACGGCACTCTTCCGCCCTTTGAGAAGCCGCCCACTTATGACGAGACGCTAACCCTTATTCGCAATGAGATCGGTATACCTCCGCCCGCATACCGGCGTAATCCCAACTCCAGCTCATCCTCCAACTCATCCAATCAGTCCACTCCTAACATGTCTTCGCGGGTTTTGGTGTCGAGGCCTGTGTTGACGCCCGTCACAGACACAAGCAATTCATATCTGACTAACTCGTCGTCGAGCGAGACATCGATTGCCGGTCCGAGCGGTGAGTGTCCCGGAAGTGGTGGCAGTCATCAGGGTATTGATAATCCAGCATTTTGTTGATGTTTGTTTTACATTTTAAGCTGTGTTTTACGTATCATTTATGTATTTAATTATATTTTAATTGAAGATTTTTAAACGCATTTTTACTTTTGTTTAAATTTTAAAACTAAAATAGACCATCATTAAAATTTAGCTAAATTTTACAAATATATTTGTGATAACAATAACTTAAATGATATAGGTTATATTAAATTATATAACTTAAAATATGTAAAAGTTATTACTGTATTTCATATGTAAGGAATTTGATGAATGTCCTCCTAATCTATTCATTTGCCCACATATTTAACACACTTATTGTGTTTAAAAATAAGATGATTAGTTTTTAACAATCGTTTTATACTTTTGAATTTATTTTAAGTCAAGTCTCAAAAGTAACTTTTTTAAGAACTTTATAGTGTTTAATAAACACTGTTTATCATAATTTACATATAAATGCAATTACATTGCATATTCAAAACCAGATCACCATTTAATCTAAATATACTGTAGATATTTACGAGGACTTTATTCAAGCACTTCGTTAATGAACTTAACTTACAATTTTCAATTGATTACATACTTAAGATCTTAAGTTAAGTTCCATAACATTAATAACTATTTTTGCGATTTATTTCTTGTGTTTTAATTGTTGTTCAAATACTTTGACATCAAAGCGATTGATTAGATTTAGTGTCGAAATTTTCGATACCATCTAATATTGAAGTATTGTATTTGTGTGTTTTTATAAAACTTAAACATTTCGCAATAAGTTTGAGAATTTTAATAAATAGGCTAAAAATGTTCTGGTTACTTTCTCAATAATATTCCAATGGAAATAGTATTTACTATTTTTGTAATTATTATTATTATTTAATTTGTGTGAAATACAATTAATTAGTTTTATTAAAAAGCTATATGTGTTTATGGCTTATAAGCAAAACTATATGGCAATGAATTTGGAAAAATGAGTCCAATAAACAGTAAATAGGATGTAATATCAAGTCTCTTATTAATTAACTTAGATTCTTATGCACTGTAACTGTTTTATTGTTGTGGAAACAGTCAATCATGTAATTGTTATTTTCACACCATATTATCAAAACGGAAAACTAGATCATTAACTTTTTAAATAATTATAGTTAATACCGTAGTACATTTGGTACTCTATTATGATACTGCATCATTTGCTTATTTTCATATTGTTTTCATTAATTTTAAGGTATTTTAATCTAATCTAATCACTAACTCGTAGAATATTTTCTCCGTATAGCAAACATTTTTATTATACAGAAAGAAACAGAAAATATTTTTATTAAATTGTGATTCATTTGAAATATTATTTCATTGTTTATTTATTTATTACATTTTATTTATTCAAATTCTTGTAGTAATTCATTCAATCAACAAACATAATACTGTACTGTATTTCAATAACAATAAGATTATTCTGTATCATAAATATAAGAAATATTTTATACTATTGTAATGTAAGTCAAGTATTACAGTAATTGTGTTTATAATAATTTCAGTTAATATTGAAATTAATTACACCGGTTTGTTTGTTGACAAATTGAGCATGATCAGATAGTAAAAACTAACAAAGTTGTAAGAATAGTACGACTATAACGCTATTATAGACCAATTTATTAGACAAGTCCGGCGTCTTTAGCCATAGAGTGAAACTGTGAGGACTGGTTGTCGAGCAGAGCTTTGGGTGAATCATATTCTTTGACGCATCCGCTGTCCATCACTAATATCTTGTCGTAATCGAGAATTGTATTCAATCGGTGGGCAATCGTAATGATAGTGACTTCGTTGA